CGGGAACTGAAAACAGAGCTGCCGTTAATGCAAGGATCTTATGTCTCACCTTGTGGGAGATGTTTTTGCAGGACCTAAAGATCACAATCTTCTTGTGGGATATGGAGCAAGACTGTTACTGAAAAGCTTGCTCAGTGCTTCTTCGTGTTGCATACTGGAAATCTTTTAAAGGACAAGAGAGGCTTCAGAAGGAATGGCCATATAATGAGTTTTCTGGTTGCGTTACTCTTGTTTTAACTGGGCAACCGACATAGCTCTTGTTAGCTTGTTTGCCTTTGGGTATTAAGTACATTAAATGAACATGTGCTCATTCAAATTAAGCACCATCTTGAGCTTCCTTAAGAGTGGGTAATTTAATTCCACGTAATGCTTGAGAAGGGGTGGGTATGCTCTCTGCTTGTAGATGGTCCCCTAATACATTTGAATTCCACTGCCTAATTGGAGTTGCAGATTCTTGGATCGTGTTCTTGCCACTTAGTTATTGGTTAACAATCCTCTGTGTTTGTGGGAGGGTTTGCTCTGGGAGGAATTTTGCAGAAGATGAGTTTATTAGCAAATTCTAATTTACTAAAGACTAAGTATGTGTTATTTCCGCAAGGGCCTGTGAGAGCCTTATTAAAAAGGCAAAGAGATCTTTCTTTATTGCCAGTCGGATTTGTGTAGCTCCGATATAATAAATATATGATAGTTGAAAAACTGCAGCTGCTGCTTTAAGGAGCCAAGCTATTGAAGTGACTCTTAAAGCAGTAGAATTTCTTTTTTTCAGACTCATGAGGAAACCTGGAAAACTTTTCACTGTTAGAACCAAGATTGGAAGATGCTGTTCTTGTGCTGTCTAGATGATTTTTACTTAACTTTTTAAAAGAGTCTACTATTTAGGAATCTCAAGCAGTGAAGCTTCCTCTAAAACAGTGTCAAACTTGATTTCATTGAGGGCCGTATCAGGGTTATGTTTAAGGTGACCAGACGTCCCGCTTTTGGCAGGACAAATATAAGTATCCCATGGGCTGGATCCCATTCCTGACTTTTGAGTTTGACACCCCTGCTCTAAAATAATCACATTGATCTTCACATTGGGATCTCATCTGACTGAAGGAGAAATCAGGCTAGCAGCTTCAGAGTTCTTAATCCCTCTCTGCAAATCAGTATCAGCAGCTGAAGGTCTGGGTTGCTAGTGTGGAGTCAGGGTTATAAAGTTGCTATTATAATACTAAAAACATTTGCAGCCATTCCCTCAGCCCTAATCTGGGAATTTAAAAACATCTTGGAAGAAGATCCTGGCAAACCACTTGGAAAAATGTTGCCAAGGAAACTGCATTGATCTGTATTAATACCTTTTGATGGCTTTTAATTTCTTGGAATGTAAGTTGCCTAAAATCTGAGGGGGGGGACATGAAATGTAGAGGTAAGCCCCTAAACAAATATGGGGGGGGGGGAAATCCTTGAAGAGGAACCCCATTTAACATTTGTAATAGATTGGATTCACATATCATTCTAAAAACCTGACTTAGTTTAATCATAAATTGCTAACTAAGTCACAGTTGCTGGTTGTAATGCACTACAATGAATTATAAACCAGACTCAGAGCACTGAAGCAAAAATAGGACTTCCATAAGAGGGCTGCCAAAATCCTTTGTTGCCATCTAGTTGTCATTCAAATGGTTGCAGTTCAGATACAAGAGTTTAGGCAAAAAAATACATAAATCATACTGTTTAGCACAGAATATGAAGCCAGCCACAAAAGCAAACTAGGAGCATAGATGAGGAGCAAAGTTTTGGATGCTTTCAGGGGAAATTAAACAATAGCTCATGCTGGGAGACAAATTCTTAGGTTTATGGCTTTTTGAATGGGTTTAGACTTCTATGGAACAAACAGGGAAAAATTCCTAGATTAAGTTAAAGGATGCAAAATATCAAGATGATGAATTAATCTCTGAAAGACAAGATTACTCCTGGTTGAACTTTATTTTTCATCCAAGACTTTCATTTTTTGACTATTCTATCTAGTCCAGTGGTGAGATTCAAAAATGTTTACTGCCGGTTCTGTGGGCGTGGCGTGACTTGATGGGCTTGGCTTGGTGGGCATGACAGGGGAAGGATACTGCAAAATCCCCACACTCCTGGGGGAAGGATATTGTAAAATCCCCACACTCCTGGGGGAAGGATACTGTAAAATCCACATTCCCTCCCCACCCCACTAACCCGCTTTCCAGCTCCGTTCTCCT